CAATTTAATGTAGTTCACATGAACGTGAGTGACAATTCTCTGGGTATTATTAAATTAAAAGCCTAGGACAGTTTTATGGTAAGATCAGTATGTGTATCAGATATAGTGGTTACCAGATGAGTAGTTGTTCTAAGAATCAAAATTTAAAATTCATCCAATTATTATTTGTTTTTAATGTTAACTTATTTATTCTTTATAATGTGGAAATTTTAAATTTTATTTTATTTTTATCTTTGTGTGTATGTGCGATGTTTGTGTGTTTGAGGGTGTGCATGTACCACGGTGCATGTGTAGAGGTCAGAGGACACCCTCAGGTGCCAGTCCTTGCCTTCCACTTCCTTTGAGATGGGCTGCCATAAGCTTGCAGGGACTCTCCTGTCTCCACATCTAACCCTGCCATTGCAGACTCCGGTGTTACAGAGCCTGGCTTTACGTGGCTTCTGGGAATCAAAACTCAGGTCTTCACGTTTGCTCAGCAAGCACTTTACCCACTGAGTCATCTGCCCTGCCCTTTACTTTTAAAAATTAGCGTATGAAGAATGACATTTTCATGGATGCTTAGTATTGGTTGGTCTCCTCCTAACTCCTCTCCCATCTTCCCACCCCCTGCCATGAGTGTACCTTCCCACCCTCTCCTCATCCCCTCCGTGTACCCTCCCACCCTCTCCTCATCCCCTCCGTGTACCCTCCCATCCTCTCCTCATTCCCTCCGTGTACCCTCCCACCCCCAGTGTTCTCTCCTGTCCACTCCGGTGATGCACTCTACTTATCACTTGTATGTTTTCACACAATGTCCATCGGTAAAACTGCTTTCCCACAGTTTAATTTGGAATTTTTCTGTGGTCATGAAACAAACACTGGACTGCCAAGCTATATCTCATGCATTGCATCAATATTCAAAAAGTGAATCCCCTTGGACCCTACTTTCTCAGCCTGGACAGAGGTCAGCACTTAGGCGTTTAAGCCCCATAGGACCTTTCAATCCTATGAGTAAGTCTGAACCAAAAGCACTCCTGATCTGCTTAGCAGCAAATAGCTGAATAACAGTAGGACAGGCCACTTGGCTGTGGGGGGGAAGGTCGGAGCTGGAGAGTGTCCCGGAAGAATACAGCCTCACATGACTCCAGTGGAATGAAATTGTTGAAATCTCTCACTTTAAGATATCAGTGGAAGAGATTCCTGGATGGATTGCAGGGAGCCTAGGAGTCCTCCGGAAGTTGAATATATCAATTCCTACATGGATACATACACTTTCTGGGAAAAAAATAATTTCCAATAGTTTATTTTCTTTTTAAAGGGATCTGTGAAAGTGATATCAGAAACTAAGAGATCATTGTGTAGCCTGGAGACAGGGAGTAACTGATTGGTGTATACAAGCTCAAACCATGGTCTCCTCTTACCTTTCACTCAGGCCAACCAGTCACAGGTGATAGGAACAAGAAATTTATTGAAATATCTGACCTCTGCCAGGACAGAGTGGGCACTCGGTTCTAGTTCTTACACCTACGGACCCCTTCAAGTAAGTTAAGAGTCATTGTTTTAGCAGCCTCGAACTGAACTCCATTGAGAGAGGAAACTGAACTCCATTGAGAGAGGAGCGGTAACTCAGTTGCCAAATATGCAGTGAAGATTTGCTGTGTAGTGTCCTGGGATTCAAAACTGAGCGAAACAATTCTGTTCTTGCAGCAGCCTAAGCTCTTATGTCCTTGTGACAACTTGCTTTAGCTCTCTAAAATTTATTCTCCTCTTATAAACTGGAGATAAGAATTGTGATTCCCACAGAGGTTTTGAGATCACAAGGTAAATATATAATACATGGGAAACTGCAAAAGGAAACCCAGCAAAACCAACATGGAAGTTTGAAGGAGAAACATAGAAAAATGTCTCCTCCCAGATCCGGGCAAGCAGGGAGGGAAAGTTCTAGGGAGGAGGCGATGACCCACCTGCATTTCGGAAGCTTGGTGAGAAAAGGCTCATACGCTCTGTGTCTAGACGCACGGATGGAATCTCCTTCCCTTCATACAGGGCAACCAGGAAAAATCAGACGGAAGACCAAAGTCACCTCCCTCTTCCTGTTCCTTCCAGCAGCACCATCACCTAAGTGATGCTCGCTTACAATGACCGGTGCCCGCCTTTGCTCTAGAATCTGCCAGTTCGCCTGAGGTGCCTGGTCTTGGATGGCCTTCTTAGGCACCACGCATGCTTCGCCTGTGTCCCATTCCTCCATATGTGCCCAGCACTTGCCTGATTTCTCACATGTGGTGAGGGACTAACGAGATGCTTTGATAAAAGCACTGAGGGGATGTTGGTGGCAAATGGAGCTTTTCCTGTTGCCATTGCCACAGCATTGAGATTTTTCCTTTGCCTAAGGGAGTAGTTTTTCTTAATGGAACCCTGAGCACATTCCTGGAAAGAGCTACCATGCCCCTTATATGAAATGCGTGGGTGAAGTGCATGGGAACAGAGTGTTTGGGATTTCATTTTTCCCCATCTTGGAATATTTGCTATATATAATGAGCTATCCTGGGCTCAGAATTCAGAAACATGAAACCCAGTTGCGTTTCTTGTAAACCTTGCATACGTAACTGGAACATTTTATACTATATACTATTTTTAGTACACTTCTGTTTTGATTTTGACCTATCACTTGATGTCACCTGGGGGGGTTCTCTTAGTTGTGTCATGTCAGCACCAAAAGAGCTTCAGATTTTGCAACATCTCTGGTATCAGATTTTCAGATAGAATGTTCAACTTGGGCTGATGAGATAGCTCAGCAGGTAAAGGTGCCTGCTCTCGAGGCTGATGACCTGAGCTGGATTCCTGGAGCCCATGTAGTGGAAGGAGAGAACCGACTCTAGCAAATTGTCCTCTGGTCTCCACATCCTGTTGCATGTGCACACACACACACACACACACACACACACACACACAGACACAAAACCAAAATTTGTGAAAAGAATGTTCAGCCTGAGCTGAGGAGGTGGGTGGGGAGAGTTCAGATGACTCCTGCAGGAGCTTGAAGCTCTGGCCCGTGGGGACCCGGGCCTAAGCCTGGTGTGCCTGTGTGAGCTGAAGCAGTCCTTAGCAGCCACTAAGACCTAGAGCAGTTCCTCTCTTGACAACACCTCAGGAAGAACACTGCAGACACCAGCTAGACGGGCCCTTCTTCAGCTTCTCAGTTCTCTCTTCTCTTTCTATTACTCCAGAACCTCTCAGGAGACTTCCCTTAGTGCCCCTCCCTTCATCCCACTGATCTTTAGCCATCCCACCACCACTTGAAAGGAGCAAAACATGAAAAAGGGTGTGTGTGACTTAATCCTGCCAGAGTCCAAGTCCAGAGTAGATGGAACTTGGCTATGCTCTTCCACAGCAAACTGCATTATTTAAGGGGGTAAATACATCTCTGTCACATTGCTTGGAAAGTGTGCATTCATATGTACTCGTTAACTTTCTTTCCAATCCACTAGGCTCTAGTGGTCAAAAGGAGAGAGGAGAGAGAGCTTAGAGGTCTTTGAAGAATGGAACTTAAAGTGTCTGGTGAAAAATACGTATTAGGAATGGGAATTGTCACTGAAGGAAATTTGGGCAGACATGTTCTGTGGGAGAAAGTCCGAAAGTTTCTGTACGCTTCTTTCCCAGCTGAAGATATCCGAGACAGTTCTTTCCAGGAAGGAAAGGACTTACTCCTGTTCAAGAGAGGTGACAAGCACAAGGAGGTCATGGGTACGAGAGCAGAGTATTCCAGTAGTGTGAACAGATTGTGGAAGGTCCTGAGAAATAGCTTACTGGCTTAGAGGAAGGAGCAGATGTGGCCAAACAGCCTCAAGCCAGAGATAAGTGTAGTGATGGGTCAGGAGCCAACTCAGGCCAGGCCAGGTCAACCTTGGTAAGGAATTCAGATTTTATTTTAAGAACAGAAGCAGGAAGGTCCAACTTAATTTTAAAAGTAAAGGAATGGCATAACCCTCCCTGCTTCTTAAAAAAAGAACACTGGCTGGGCATGGTGGTGCATGCCTTTAGTCCCAGCATTTGGAAGGCAGAGGCAGGAAGATCTATGTGAGGTGGAGGCCAGCCTGGTCCACATAGTGAGTTCCAGGCCAGCTAGGGCTACAGGGAGACCCTATCTCAAAAATAAATAAATAAACAAAACCATAAGGAAATATTGCTCTCAGAGCAGAGGGGCACAAACCCCAAGAGATGGTTTATATTATTACACTGTGTTGCATTGTGTCACCCAGGTAAGAGATGGTGGTGGGAATGAAAACAAGATGGGCTTGGGAATGTGAAGGACTGCTGAGGTGATTTTGTGAAATCACTTACCTAAAATACTCTTTTCAATCATGCATATATATATACATATATATACACACACATATATAAATACATACACACACACACACACACACACACACACACATATGCATGTATCTCTTTAGGATACTTGGGACAATGTCCTGTCTACTGGTCATGGCCAACCTATGACACTTCAACAGACATCTACAAAGTTCACACTCCAGAACTGTTAATCCAGTTACAAAAAGAATCTCATAAATTGCTAAACAAAACAAAAACAAAGCCTATTCAGTTTTAAGGGTGTTTATAATTTGGGCTCTATACACAGCTATCCTGTGGTACACGTGGACTGTGGGCCATGGGTTGGACATGGCTGGCCTAAGAAATTAGAGAAATTAGAAAGTCTATCTTTGCAAATGTGTGCCTCAGTGCCGTCTTGATCCCCTTAACTCATAAAAGCAAACCCACTGCTTCATGCAACAACAAGCTTGCTGGATGCACGTCATGAAGGCAGCATTGTGTAGTGGCTGTGAGGTCACAGATCTCTTTTTTTTTAATTTTTTTAATTTTATGTGTACGAGTACACATAATTAGAAATAAGAAAATAAGGCTAGTGTGGTGGGGCATGCCTTCCGGCACTAGCCAAGCAAGAAAAGGCTCTCGACCTTGTTCATCGTGTATCATTTAAATTACAGCTGGAGGGAGACATGCCTACTTTAGCCAACTTCACACAGACACTGGAGGATGTCTTTAAAAAGGTTTTTATTACTTATATGGACAACTGGAGGAGAAACACAACAGTGGAACAACAGGCGCTCCAGGCCAAAGTCAACGCTGAGAACTTCTACTACGTCATCCTGTACCTCATGGTGATGATTGGAATGTTCTCCTTCATCGTTGTAGCCATCCTAGTGAGCACAGTGAAATCAAAGCGACGGGAGCACTCCCAGGACCCCTACCACCAGTACATTGTGGAGGACTGGCAGGAGAAAGACAAAAGCCAGATCTTGCATCTAGAAGAATCCAAGGCCACCATCCATGAGAACACCGGTGCAACGGGGTTTGCAGTGTCTCCTTGATCAAGGACAAAGGCAGGAAGCCCACCTGGCACCCAGGCGTGAAAAGGTGTTCCTGCCACTCAGCAACTCCAGCCTGTTCCTGCTCAGAAGAAGCAAGTGCCAGTCTGTGTGCTGAGAATTTCCATGGTGATGACGTGGCTGGCAAGTTGACACAGACGACATTTCAATCTCAGTGATTTATGTTTGCTTATTGGAGTGGTATTTTGTGCTGAAGACCTCTTTTATTTTCTATGCAATGTAAATGTCATTTAAATCAATGTCAATAGTGAGAATAAAGTCAAATTTGAAGGAAAGGGCCCGGGCAGGAGTAGTGGGAATAGAGAGATTTACAAATCACTGAAACTTCTTTCTTATGAAATATTAGTTTGGATGTAGCAAATTCAATTTATAAATAACTCAAATGTATTATTCAGAAGCTAAGGTTCAAAATCTATCATTCACTTTGTTGAACTGACAAATTTTACTTATCAATCGATGAGCACAGAGTCTGAAGTGATGAATGGACAGACCATGAGGTCATTTTGCTTTTATTGTTTTCCTGGTATTTAACTGATTTGGAAGTCTGGTCAGAACAAACATTGCAAAGAACAAATAATCCATGACAGACACATCAAATATTTAAGAACTACCTGGTGTAACAGAAATGCATTTTTAACTAACATTTCAAGTTTTTCAGAAGTCTAACCTTTGAAATTCCCATTACTTAAGAAAAACAACAAAAAGCATGACATTTCTTTCTAAACATTGCACTTCTCACTACAGAAAGTGTCTCCATTGTTGATGTCTGTGGAAAAGCTAGACATTGGCTGTTTAATATTTTTCACCATGATGGGGAATGTGAGTAGGAGAGATGTTGGTCAAAGGATATACATTTTATTGTGGATGGGTGTGCCCACCCATAACCTCCAAGACTCAGAAGGCTGAGGCAGGAGGATCCTAAGTGCTGGGCTGTTTGTTGTTCCAGAGTTGTATATCATTGTGACTACAAAATGCCTTGTGTTCTTAAAAACTGCTAAATGATCACATGTTGTGTCTTTACCACAAAATGGTAGCGACATGAGATAATGCGTATGTTAGATTTAGACATTCCACAATGTGTATATGTCTCAAAACATGTAATATGTGACATACACAATGCAACCTGTCATTTCAAAAAATAAAATGAATATCTTGCCCCATGGGTTACAAGATACCAGCATGGCAGAGTGGAAGGGCACCCTGGAGACCATGCTGTACCACTTCATTTATTGGTGACAAAACTGTAATCTATCAAGATTAGATGTTTTCATTCATTAATTCAACTGGGTAACATTTATCTGCATTGGGTTAAGTAATGCAGAGGCAAATGAGACTTCTTGCGCTGTGGGCAATCGTGCAGGGGGAAGAGAGTCAGATGTGGAACAGAATGTGAACAGGTCGTAACAGAGGTCAACGTGAAGTGGCCACAGCCTGAGCAGAGGCAGGAGGACATCCCAACTTGGGATGAAACAGCTGAAAGTCCAGGCAGAAGAGAGCTATGTGGGCACTTTGAATCATGTATCTTCATGGCTCGTGTCTTTCCCCTTAGCCTGGTCACAGCACTTGTGAGTGGGGCCTCAGATCTCAGAGTACGAACATTCAAAAAGACCATTTCTGTTACTACAAAAGCGTACCCAAGACTGGATAATTCACAGGGGTTTATTGGCTCATGGTTCTAGGAACTAGGAAGTTCAAGAGCATGGGCACTGGCATTTGATAGGCTTCTGGTGAAGACTTCATGCTGTTCTAATTTAGGGCAGAAAGAGGAATGCCAAGCAGGTGTGTGTGAAAGAGGCCAAATACCAGACTCAATCTCTTTGTAAGGATGTGTACCCTGGAAACGAATCCAGCCCAATGAGGGTAAATTTACCTCACAAGAGGACATGCACTCCTCTACAGGAGAGAATATCTCTTAAATGCCTCATAAATCTTAACACTATTACATTGAGAACCAAGGTTCACCATGTGTTTTGGTGACAACAAACCGTATTCAAACCATAGTATCTACTACAAAGTTTGTCTCTTTAAAGTTATAGAGCAAGATATAATATATACACGGTATCTGCTTCCTAGAATATATTTGCATTTATGCTACTAGCATTGCATAGAGTTAGGGAAAGTCAATCATATTCCAAGAGCAGATATGCCAAAAGTGGCCTCTTTCCTCAGACCAGAAACCTAAAATTCTGATGCACATAGATACCTCCATCCCAGATAGTCTGCAGCAGAGACTTGGCCAGACATTCCAGGCCTCAGGTCTGAATCTAGGCAGGTAATAAAGACTTTCTTTTTGATCAATCTCTAGTCAGAGTCTTATGAACCTTCTGGCCTAGCTACCAATCTTAGCCAGTGAAAACTGCAGACTCTTGGTACAAATGATTTAATATACCTCCATCCCCTAAGGGACTTGAACAAACCCCAGTATTTCTTCTATCAGCTCCAGGCTTTATCCTTACAGTGACCCCAGCCTCCTTAAAGTGCCTGACAGAAAAATGAACGGCCACCAGGAGACTTGACTGTTTATTCTAGCCAGAGCAGGCAGACAGGCTCCTGAACCCTCTCGGAGCAATTTAGAAAGCTTTGCAATTATAAATCCTTTCTCTCTCCCACTGAGGAATAAATCGTTTATCATCTAAAAATGTCTCTTTTAAATGCAAACATTAAAACTATGCAAGAGTAAATCTTCTACCATCTAGAAATATCTCTTTGAAATACAAACATTGAAACCCTGCCTGCTGGGCATGCACCTTGCTGTTTCCTGTAAGTTTGTTTCTCCTTTAGACAGCAAATCATGTGGAACACTCCCTCCCATTTTAAAATAAATTTCTAGTTTTGGAGATGATGAGATGACTCATTGGGTAGAGGTGTTTGCATGCAGCAGACCTGAATACCTGAGTTCAATCCCTGCATCCACAAGGTGGAAGGAGAGAACCAAGCCCCCAATAGCTGTCCTCTGAATTCCACACATGCACACAGCAGCATGCAAGTGCCTCAAACCCACACAAAAAATAAATGAATAAATAAATACACAAATGGCTGGAGAGATGACTCAGTGTTTAAGAGCAATGGTTGCTCTTGCAAAGGACCCAGGTTCAGTTCCCAGGACCCACAGAGTGGGCTCACAACCATCTGTAATTCCAGTTCCAGGGGATCCAATGCCCTCTTCTGGCTTCCATAGGCATTGCATCCAGGGTGTACTTATATACATGCAGGCAAAATACGCACATAAAATATATATATAAAAAAAGAATTAATAAATGCTTAAAAAATTAAAGACAAAAGAAAAGCCCCAAACCATGTTTTGGATAGTGTGCATTCCTTTAAAAAGATTAACTGAGGTGGAAAAACCCACTCTAAAGGAGCGGCACCATCCCATGGGTTGTGGTCCTGGATGTAATGAAAGGGAGAAAGCAACTGAGAACAAGCATCCACCCTGCTCTATTTCCTGACTATGGACTCAATGTGACCAGCCATTTCCTGCTCGAGCCCCGTATCTCTGCTGTAATGGTCTGAAACCCTGAACCCTGAACCCGAATGAATCCTTCTTTCCTTAGGCTGTCAGGTGTTTTGTTGCAGCACTAGCACAAGCAAATGATACATGTGACATGCATATTGTTGGATCCAGCTGCTTCAATTTCCCCTTCCTCTAGCAAATCGCACCAAACCGAGGCTTTTCGGATGAAATGCTAATTCAAACAGCTGTTTTCTTTTTCTATCTCATTGCTTTCAGAGTTCTTTCTGCTTGCCTTCTGTCTCCACATACCAAATACCACTTACTTCTTAAAAGTGAAGCTCAGAAACTATTTTAAAAGAAGCCAGTGGTGGTGGCCGATCTGATTCTAGACCCACAACCCAGGGTGCGCCCTAGTTCTGGCCTTTGCTGGCTTAAACCTCTGGACAAACTAATTCCCGTGTGCTCACGTGTCCTGTGAAATGGCTATAATTACAGTATGTCCTTTATAGTCTTCTTACTGACTTTAAAACAGACAATAGTCTTAAAGTGCTTAGAACAAAGGTAATTAGTTACTTAATCTGGGAGCACTACCCTTATTAACAGAACCATATGCCCTACCCTCAGTCCGCTCTTCCCTCTCTTAGGTTCAAGTTCCCACTCTGTCACTGCAATTTGCGCCAGCACCAGGAGTCAGTTTCCTCCTCCATAGAAGGTTGAGCCGAGCATGTGGGGAACTCTGTATGAACTCTGGTTCCCCTTAGTCTTGCATTTGGGTGCTCGGTTTGCACCTCCCCATGGTGCATGCATAAAACCCTGAGACCCTCTTCATTCACCCACTACCCCCCAATCCCTCCAGACCCCCACTAATTGCTCTTTTAGCTTCTGTAAAATGCTTGGCTGCTGCTTTAGACATGCCTAGACATGCCCTGGCATGCCCTGATCCCTGCCTGCTATCCCCCCCTTCCAGGAAACTATAGATTAAGCAAGCCCAGGCATGAAAACTGCCCTATAAGGTAAAAACGGAGACTCCTGGCCCCTCAGATAACAGTCAGCACATTCCACAGCCCTGAGAATAGCACCTACCAATAAGAAACTTCCAGGGCTGCATCTTATACATCCAATATCAGTTTAAAATTATGTTGGCGTGCAGGCTCCTTGAACCAACCAAAATGTGTCTTTGGTATCTCCCCCCTTTTGTCTAAAACCTATAAAAGGCTCCACTCGCCCTTACTCTGGGCTCTCAGCACCGATCCGTTGAGTTGGTGAGGTCTGAGAGCCCGAGCTTAAGCCCGAATAAACCATAAACCTTTGCTTTTGCATTTTGGTGTGTTGGGTCCTTGGTGGTCTTTTTGGGGTCCAGTGGATGAGGTACAACACATGCATTCAAGAAGCATTGTTTTAGGGGCTTGAGAAATGGCTCGGTGGTTAAGTGGTTAAGGGCTCTGGCTGCTCTTGCAGAGAACCTGGGTTTGGTTCCCAGCACAAACGTGGCGGCTAATACATATAAATAAATAAATAAATAAATAAATAAATAAATAAATAAAAGCATTGGCTAAATGTACGAATTTGGGAACCTAATGCAAGTGCACCCTTTAGTTATCCCAAAGGAAAATGCATCTATGCAGCCAGCATGGAGCTATGTCTGGACACTGCTTGGGGACCCGCTGTCTCAGCAAGCCAGCATCCTGGGAATGCAATTTAGGATGCAGAGGCCCCGCGACGCCCAGCGCTCCAATCCGCATCCTCTCCACCTCAGGGTAGGAATACTCCCCAGGACACAGAAAATGGTCTCCAGTACGCATCACAGGGGTGGACTACCCTCTTGAGGTCCTATCTGGACTTCTGCAACAGCTTCAGACTCTCGGGTGGGGGGGGGGGGGGGGCACGTGAAGCCCACTGCGCCTGCGCACCAGGCAGTGCCTGCGCCCTGTCTGCCGGGCGCACTGCGCAGGCGTACGAAGCGATGCATTTCGGGACGTGTAGTTTTTCCCTGAGGATTGTGGGAGTCGTGGTTTGTGAGTGCCTGGTGAGGAGGCTTGCCGCCCTGAGTCGTGTAAGTGTCTGACGTGGTGTAGGCCTGGGCCTGACCGGAACCCCAGGACTCTTTGGGGTGCTGGGGATCCTGTGCTTGGCCTGGCGAGGTCCTGGTGGGCCCACGGCTGGATTGGACAGGGGTTGTTTGTCCACGAAGATCCCCCAGGATGAGCGAATATCCCGGCTGCCTTCGTCTGGCAGGGAGGGGGCACGATGACATATAGTCCCTGGCCCTGGCCTGGGACCTTGGTGGGTCAGAGGTTGCACTTGAGGGACCTGGTGGGGACCACAGGTTACTCCATTAGGTCCTGTTGCACCCCCAAAATTGCATGGGAGCACAGGACGCCAAAGTTGCCCAAATGAGGTGTGAGGTTCACCCCATGCCTCTGGCTCCTCGGAGGATCCCCAAAACTTCAAGACTTGGAGTCTGAGCAGCCTAGATAGAATGGATCTGGATCTCCAGAAGGTCCAGGCCTGTGCAGAGTTGGGAGGGACAGGTGAGGCCCAAGGGTCACCTGTCAACATCTTCCCCAAACCCATCCCTACTTCAAATGGTTGGGTGAGGTGTTGGAGGCAGAAGGGCCGAGACTGGGAACACGAACAGCTTCAAAGAGTTGGCACAAGAGGCTCAGCTCATGCGTGGGTGGAGTAGGTTGTTATATGCTGTGGTAGACCGACCCTTGAGTTTTTTAGGCCTGCCCAGAAGAAAACAGCGCCTGTGGACGAAGTATTGTACATATTGTTTTAATTGGCCTCACCAAAATATGAGTGAATAGTTTTTTTGTTTGTTTGTTTCTGGAGAAACCTGTCAAAAGGAGAAAAAAATATTTTACAATAAAGAAGGTCTAAAAATAGTTTCGGTTTTATCTAACCTGTTTTGTTATTGTTGAGGGTTTGGTCAAGACTGGATAGTTCTAAGGGGACTTTGAAAGTGCCTGATCTTCACCCGGGTTTTTATGCTGTCCAACTGCCTTGGTGGTTTTGCAATTCATCCCTCAGACCCCAGCTGCCTCTTGTTTCTGAACTGCATCAAGTACATGTGATATTGGAGCAGAGCACTTACTGTTATTTTTTAGCTTTCTTGGTTGTCACATTTGCAGAAGGCTTTGCAGAGTGCCAGGAAAATGGCTACTTTGGCTCCTGAAATTTAAGGCAATAAGTGGGTATAAGTGGCTTGAGTGGTTCACCCTCTTTTCCTTGACCCACTACTACTGCAGAGTCCCTCCTCCTCCTCCTCCTCCTCCTCTTCTCCTCTTTTCTGACAGGATCTCCTGTATCTAAGGCTGACCTTGATCTCTCCAGGTAGCTAAGGATGACTTTGAATTCCTAGTACTCCTGCCTCCCTCCCAAGTGCTGGGATTACAGACATGACCACCATGCTTGGTTTATGTGGTGCTGGGGATTGAACCCACCACTTTATCCATGCATATCAATTGAGCTACATCCCCAACCCTCTGTTTCTTAAAGAGCTTGATTTACAACTCTAGTGGCTGGTGTATCTTGGCATTCAGGTTCTGTGATGTCAGAGGATAGTGCGTTATGAATTCAGGGTTGCGGGTGGGGTGGGGGTGGATTCATTGTTTGGACTCTGACCTTACAAAGGAGAGCACTTTGATTCCCCAGGTTTACATGCCCTGCCACCGGTGTCACCAGGAATGGAGGGCTTTCCTATTCTTGCCCTTCCCTGCATTCCTGGCTGCCCTGCACTGACTACTGTTTTCCTGGGTGCTGTTAGCGAAAGGAGAGATAGTTATCATAACAGTGGTGCTTGACTTTCTGTAGTGCTTCCTGTGTGTTCTACAAAGTGCTTAGTGTTTACCAGCCAATTTCGAAAAGAGAATTTTACCAATGAAGCAGTTGAGGCTTTGACAGGCCAAGTGTCCTCTCCAAGGTCACATTGCCAGTAAATGTCACAGGTTTGCCAGAGTATCACACCACTGGGTGTTTTGTTTTGTTTTGTTTTTTCATTTTTTTCTTCTTGTAAGCTTTTTGGACCTGTTTATTTTCCTGGACCTTGGGAGTCAGTATCCTTATATATCAATTCATGTATGTAATTTGTGAGAAATGGTCAACTTGTCTGCTATATATGTATACAACTCAATTAAGAAAGAATTACAAAAATAAAATGGAAAAGAACTTAAACATTTTGCTTTAATGTGTAGTATGGCTAATCTCTAAGCTTATTAGAGACTGTTCAAAATGAAAATTCTGTCAGTGTAAAGAACCCATTTCTCCAGGGCAGGTCAGACTCTGCTTCTGCTTAAAGGCAAATGGCCACTTATGCAATAAAGACCTTCAGCCAATGATGTCACATTTAGGCAAGCTTTGGCTTAATTTGAGGCTTTAATTCTTATCAGTAGTTTATCTGACTTTGCAGAAGTCACGAGGGCAAACTTGGTTATCTTGTGCCAATTACCAGCTGGTTTTCAAGGTTCTAGAACCTTGAATAGATTGAAGTCTGAGTTTTGTAATTGAAAATTTTTTCTAAAACATTCCAAATTCACCTAAGGAAGCTGATTCTAAAAGCCTGTGAAATTTTCTGTTGCTTTCCTAATTCTGATTGTAAGGACATTTCAAGAACACAAAATTCTCTGCATGTGTCAGGATAGTGCTGAGGTTAAGGCTTGGGGACCAGAATGGATGTGAGACAGAGGCTGAGAAAGATTAGCAACCTGGGACTCTGCTTGGCTTGGGCTACACAGACCACTTTCCCAACAAAGCACTAAACAACCTGGGGCCCCATGGTATTGGGCTTCATGCATACTCCTCTCTAAACAAAAGCTTATAAACACTCCAACCTATAGCTCTCTAGCAAACTTTAAAAAAAATAATTTATTAAAAATTTCATACATGCATATAAGGTGTTTTGATCAAATCTATGCCCACTCCTGCCCCTCCAACTCCTCCCATATCTCCCCATCACTTTTTTCTGATAACGTCATGTACTCTTTCTTCTTTTTTGATTTATGTATTTTCTTATGGGGCTTTTTGCTACTCTAACATTCCCCCCTCTGAAGAGGTAACCCTAAAATCTCTTAAGGATGGCAGCTAACAACTGTCTGTAACTCCAGTCCCAGGGTATCCAACAGCCTCTTCTGTCCTCCGCGGGCATTGCA